CAAACTCATATGCAACCTTTTACAGTAAGACACAGCCTGTGCCCAAACTGCTGCCTCAGCCAGCCAGCAGAATGGCTTTACCAATACTCTCCCTTCCCTTCTGGGAATGGCCCCTGGTCCCTGCTGTTCTCAGAATCATGTCCAAGGACTGCTTGGGAAGTGTTACTACAAGCCAAATCTGTACATACAAACAGGCAAGGGAACATACAAACAGTTCAGTCAGTCAGGGCCACAGTCCAAGTACATGCCCTGGCCATAGCTAGCCCTGTCTTAGCTCTGGGGTATGGGGACAGCAAGTAATACTAAGGATAACTTAGTATTGTTAGTGTGTGAAAAGTCAAATCTTGATATGCATTTGAATACTTGATTTTCTGATGTAACCTCAGTATTCCTCCCCTCTGCACAGCACCATATCACTTGGAAGAAAATAGTGTTCTAGATGGTTGTTTCCTTCCAAATGAAAGATCTCCGTCAGGTGATTGTATTGTCAAAAGCAGAATGGGAAAGGATTCAGGGCAACCTTGGCAGCACTAGAGAAGCAGCACACATCCTTGCTGAGCAGAAAGAACAGGGAGAAATGCAGTTAGGCTCCAAAGCTGCTGAAAAAGACTCACCCAATGCCACTCTGGTAAGTGCAAGATACATTTGTAAACAAGAGTTGTCATTTTCATATATACTAAAACACTCATAGTAACATTTCTAGCTGTACTCTCTTTGTTTAACATTTGCTTTTTGAACATGTATTTTAACTAAAGTCCATTTAAATACATTCAATATCTAACATCAATATCTATATTTTTTACATTAAAGCTAAAATGCAAAATTTAAAAAAGAAACCAACCCACAACCCAAAATTTAAATGTGATTTATAATTTTGTAGAGCATGGTACAAGAGAAACTTAGAGCCAAAAAGCTACGTGAAGAAAGGGAAGAGGAAAAAAGAAAGTTACTTGATTTGGAAGAAGAGCAGTTCCAAGCAGCAAAACGGAAGGAGGCTATTGATCGTGCAAAAACCTACCTATTCTACCAGAACGAAAGCGTGAAACAGCTGCATGTTTGTTGACAACTTAGAATTTTTAAATTCAAATTGTACTGAATGTCCTTAAAGACTTCTGACCATGCAAATAACTTTAAATGTTCTCTTGCAGAGTGCACTTGTGCTTACTGAGGTCCTAAAAGAAAGAGATGCTCAAGTTGAATTTAAAAAGTTAAAGTCGGTTGTTACGAAAAAGAAGGAGGAAGAAGAGGAACGTGAACTTAAAGAATACACTCTTAGAGAGCAGAAAAAGGCACATCAAGATTATTTGAATCAACAGGCACTACGCAAGTATCAGCTGGAACAGTGAGTAATAATTAAAAGCAACCCTACTTTATTATTTAATTAAACTCTTCTCACAAATACATTCTACAAGGTTTTTACAGAAATTCACAATTTGATTCACAAAACTGTATTTCGAAAGCAAAATCCAGAGTATCACAGAAGACCTTGGACAAAAGGGAAAAGCTGCAATATGCATTATCTTTTAGTGGCCAACAGTCTATGTGCAAAATCACCTCTGGCAGGCATCAGTAGGTTTTAGTCAAATCACTATTCAAATGTTGTGACTAAAATTTAATTGTATTTTACTCAGTTTTTGTTCTAGACAAGGAAAAGGGTAAAACAGATTTTCCATTTGCCCATAACTAGTTTCCTGACTGCACATGAAGAGAATGTATTACTGTCACTTCTATTCTTTTTCTCAGCTCTTCCAGAAATCTCATGGAGGGGTCCCTAGTGGTATTTATAGGACTGGCCCTGGTGGTCTGATAGTAGGAATCAAATTTCCCGAGGCAGAGGAAGAGTTCAAAGTCTGGTCTTACATATTCCAGGCCAAAAAAGCACATAAATCCTTGCGGAACTTAGTATAGAACACTGCTAGTTTAAGCTGCTGCCTGCGTGCCCCGGAGGAGAAGCACAGATACAGTGGGTTGTACTGGGGCATTCTTGTCCTCTGAGGACACTGTGGAGATAGGCCAGAACATTACGAATGCAATAGTGCTAATGAGTCATTCAGCTAAAACTTGTTACCATGAGACTGCACACTGTGAGCATATCATGTAGCTCATGTCTGGCCAGAGGACTGAGGGCTACCAGTACAAACAATCACACTGGTTTTCACCTCTGGTTTTCTACCTGCCTTCAGCTCCTCAGTGCAAGGTACCTACGGTTATGCAGAGTATGTATCTGATCATTGCTTCATGCAGTCCCTAGCCCATTTATACATCTTTTTCCAATTCAGAATAAAGGAGCACAAGCATCAGGCAGATCTGGCTAAACTAGAAACCAAAAGAGAAGGGGAAGAAATGCAGAGATTGAACCAGTTGTACCAACTAGAAACTCAGAGAAAAATGGAAAAGGAACAAGAGGAGAAACGTGAATGCTGGAGGCAGTACCATGTAAGTAACAGGAAAACAGATCCTTCAAAATGCTTGTTTGACTCCCTGACCTGAGTGCAACAGTTGCACTAGGCCCACAAATAAGTGGGCGTACTGGCAATCGGGCTTTGCTGACAGCTTCAGTTGCATGGGATCAAATGTCTACCCTGCCAGTTGCAGGCTGTGTCTTTCCTCTGTGCCTCTTGGAAGCCTTTCCCTTCTCTTATCTGAAGAGACATTAGCACCTGATGCTTTGACTGGTCTGCAGTTAAATATTCAGCTGTAGACATCAAGGAATATTCTCCTTGACTTGAAAGCTGGATTTAATTTTCACATTCCTGATGGTTTAAGCCCATTATTCTTTGTTAGAAAGAGGGAATAGCCTGAGACTGAAAATGTCTTAACTTGACGTTATGATTGGAGAGGTTTAGAAATTTAGTCAAGACCCTCTGCTTTCTCATTTCATCTTTAAAAGCATCTTGCTAAGTACAAACCAGAAGTGCCTCAGAATGGTTCTGGCCAGTGTGCAAAAGGTAGTTGTTTTTTTACCATAAAAGTATAGAAAACTCCTCTTCAGCTACATTTTGGATTAAACTTTTAGACTGGGATGAGGTGGGCCAGGAGCAGCATGGTCAGAGTGTGCTGGTGGAGGTTGCATAGTCCCATGCCTCCCACTGCTCCCTTCTCCCATGTCTGTAAATGGGAGCACAGGATAATGCTCTCTGTGTTGCACAGCAGTTTGTTTGTGTAATGGGCTGTAGAAGCAGCTGTTTGATGCTCAGTTCCCCTTCTCCTTCCTCACATCTACTATCTCCTCTTCATGCATGTTTGAACAGGGAGGTAGAAGTAAGTGGAAGTACTGAGAATCCCTTTCCTCTCTTCTCTCTTTGAAAGAAACACAAGGGGAGAGAATAGGGAGTGATTCTGGTAAGTTGTTATCCCAGGCCCAGATACCTAAACTTCATCTGTTACATCAGGACTGTTTTGCCTATACAGGAGTATGTAACTGACCAGAAAATAATCAAAGCAATAGAGGAACAAAAACAAATGGAAGAAGATGATCGGATCAAAGCTCATTTTAAAGCACAGGAAACTATTGCCAAGATGGTGAAAAAGAAAGAAGCTGAAATGCGTAGGTAGGTACAAAGCTAGAGTACAAATTGTAAATAAACTAAAAATTATACTGTCATGATTTTCAGATCTTTCAGACTAATGATGCAACACAATCCACAGTTATTTCAGAAAGTAAATTCTACTGATAGCGAGAGTATGGAATTCAGGAGAAAAAGGAAATTCTTTCACAGGTTCTGTAGTAATAGGTGTGTGAGAGAGTGATCTCTCCACCCTTCAAAGTACAAAGGCTTACAGGAGTTCAAAGCTTTACATCAGAGTGGTGGGAACAGATTTTCCATATGACCTGCCCAGCCTCCACCTCCTCAACAATTAAAGACAACGAAGATTCTTGACAAAAGTATTTTTGAGTATAAGCTATATTTCCCTCAGTCAGATCAAGAAAAAATATTTGACTTGTTAATTAGGCACATACATTTAGTAATTTCATTGGGTTCTTGTTAAGGGGAGAACACAAGGAGATCAGCGAGTTGGGTGGGTGGGCTGGACTGTATGGCAAGAGAAGAGAAGACCAGAAACAGGATTGCTGGGTTTGGTAGTTTTGGGTAGATCCAGGTGTGTTCCCCTGGCATGTTATGGCAGCTCATGTTCTTCTGCAGACTAACACAGGAACGTCAGGACAAAATTGTTAGTCGATTAGCTGCACAAATGAGTGAGACATTAAGGAGGGAAGATGATCGAATTGCTAGAGATATTGCAAAAGTACAAGCTGAAGAAGATAAAAAGCTCAAAGAGAAAGAAGCAAAAGTCAAGGCTGCCATTGAATCTATTGCTGAACACAGAGCTACTGTGGTAAGAAACCTGGGCTGTTCTTACTCCTGCTTACTCCAACTGAGGATCCTGTCCCAGATCACAGCTGGTGGCTCTGGTGCTATGCATCAGCAGCCTTCATCAAGTCCACTGACATCTCTCCTGGGGTCCCCTCTCCCTTTCCTGCTCATGTGTTGGGCACACCTCTGGCAGGGCTGGTGAAAACCCAGGGCTTGGACACTGGTCAGCCACAGTGACCGTGCTTATCAGAGTGCTGGTACAGGGCTGCTGCTGCTGAGAGATACGACTTCCAGCTTAGCAGGCTAGGTCCTTGGGTAACTTTGTGTGTTTTGTAAACTACAGATGAAGATGAAAGCAGAAAAGGAGAGAGAGGAAAAAGAAGAGTGTGTAAAACAACTTCATATGTTAATGGAAAATGACCGCATGTACCAGGAAATGGAAAAAGCCAAGAAACACAGACAACATGGCGCAAGCATGGAAGTACAGAAAGTCCAGATGCAGCAAATGGTAATTAGAAGAGCTGTGCCCTGTCAGCCCCTTCAGAAAGAAACATGCATGTAAACCAACAGGATCAGTTCCCCCCGAGAGGATGTTTCCTGTGTTTTGCTTGGGGTTTTTTGTTGGTTGGTTGGTTGGGTATTTTTAAATTGTGTGTGCTCTGCATATGCTGGTGTGGGGCATCAGCCTCCTCAGAGTGTTGGTGCAAGTCAAGCCTGGTTTGCAATGACACATCACATCCTATTCTGTGCCACTGTGTTCTACTGCTACTCTCCTATATCTCCTGGGCAGGTCCCCAAAGAGCAGCAGCTAATGCTAATGTTCACTCAGCTATTTAATGTACCCTTTTTGTGGGGGGTATGGCAAGGGACAGAAGTGGGGAGGGATGCTAAGTGCCAAGCATGAACTAATAACACTGCAGATCTCCTGTGAGCTTTTATCCTTTCTAAGCTTTAGAGGATAGTGATAATAAAATACTGAGCTTTGTTATTCCCTTTTCTTCATTAGGCTGAAAAGCAGGCAAAACAACAGCAGAAAAAGCAAGCAGACTTGGACTACCATACTCAGAGAGAGGCTATTGCACTTTCTAAAGAGCGTGAATTTCAGAGCTATGCAAAACAAGTAATTGAATCCGAGTCCAAGACTACACATCATCTTTATCCTCTTCTCAAAGCACTCAGAGATGGAAGAGGACTTAGACATGGGCCATTTTACTGAGAAGAGAAGAAATGAATACTAGTTTCCAAGCATATGATGGTGCTGGGACCCAGTTACCTTGTTGAAGCTGAAATGCTGCTCAAGAAGTTAAAAACATGAAATAACATTTAAACTATCCAGTAAGGAAAGACAGAAGCAATTTTCAAGTTAAATAAATACCTTTTTGAACCTTACAGGCAGAGTTAAAGTGTAAAAGATGTATATGTGTTGGGAAAGGTGAAGGTTCTGCGCGGGGAAGCAAGCGGCCGACTCCATGTGGATGATACAGCAAGCTCCATATTTAATGTCCGACAGGCGTGCAGGACAGGCATACAATTATCAATCATTTTTAATTGGCTAGGCTCTAAAGATAGCATTCAGGTACTCTCCCTACTCACAGCTGCAGCTGTGAGGCTTATCTCCTGCTTTCCCAGGCTTGGGTGCATTCCTGGCTGTTTTTCTCGAACTTGTTTGTCTCACCCTCAAGGACGAGTTACCCCTGCCATCTGCCATCTGCCCAGCTGAGTTACTCCCTATCTATATATAAGTTACTATCTCCAGAGCCTTGCTTGTACACACTGCATTCCCAGGTGCCTTCCCAGGACTGTGTCTGTACGTTCCCAGGGGACTGCGGCCTAGCTCTTTTTGGCCTTCCCCAGGTGCATACCCAGGATCATGTCCCACCATTCTCCAACATATATGAAATATATACTCTTAATCTGAAAGTCCATTTGGAAAAAAAGATTGCCATGGAGCTGGTTATATTCCCAAAAATCCCCCACTTGTATTTCATGAAAGTTAGTTCATTAAATTTGAGACAAGAATGTTATATAGTTGACTGTCACTGTAACCCATTCCAGTCAAAAGCTCACTATTACTGTTATATTTTTAATAATCATTGTTCTAACAATTCACTGTCCCAGGTTTTTCAGCTCTGGAATATGAATTCCTAGTGCAAAGGGACACATTTTTCACTAGCCCACTTCCAGTTAGGTATAATATAACTATCATAGAAAAGACCAAACCAAAGCAACTACAGGGGAAGAAAGCAAGAGAACATATGTGAAAGTTAAAATGGTTATGGTATAATGTTTTAGCATTCTGCAACTACCTCTGTAAAACAAACGCCATGCTATAAATTAGTTGTATTAAATTATTAGTATGATTTTATCACAGCCCTTAAAAGTTCCCATATACCTGTAAACAGCAACTACAAAAAGAGGAGATCAACAGGACCACATAATTGGGCTGTTCTTTCAAAAAGACTAACAATTATTCAATCTGCAGTAAATAGACCCAATCTAAAATCGTTTGTCAGATTCCTCAGCTGATTTACTCTCCAACACCCAAGTCACAGACACACCTTCCTCCTTAAGCACAGTTTCTTGCTTTGGACAGAGTTAGGGTTTCTTATAATGACTTCCTCCACTGGTACCCTGCACTCTAAGTGAAGTCTCCCTCTATTCTGCTGTCCACCAGAAACCAAGAAACTTAAATCTTTCCTTTGTTGCATACAACCTTGTGTTCCAGCCCCCCAGCCACCAGCCTCTCTTGGCCAGGTTAGAAAATGATGCAAGTTCTAAAAAAACCCCAACCCAAGCCAGAAGAGTTTTATACAAAAGATGCTTGCCAATATTTTAGTTTGGAAACTGGGCCTTTTGTGTGTCCTCGAGCTTTTGAGCCTAGCTTCTGAAAGCAGGAGGCTTTGGAGAAAGCACAGGACTTGGAGGAGGATGGGACGCTACCCTGGAGGTGAGGTCCCTCCTGCAAACTGCAGGCCGAGCAGAGCCGGCTTCACCTCCCCTAAGGGAAGAAATGCGGGTGTAAGATGATGTGCTCCTCCCCGGGTGCAGCAGTCACCTCCTCGAGGAGTCCCTTCCAGGCTGGGCAAGGGAGAACTTGTGGATGGCGAGAGAGGACTAACCTCTTCATCCAGCTCCCAGGGCCGCCAAGGGCTTTCGGCCCCGGGCCCGGCCCGCACGGCAGAGGCCAACGGGCGGGAGCGAGGCC